CAGCTGGGGTAGGAGGTGGCTGACTCTGAGTCCCAGGCCCTTAGGGACCTGAGAAACTGGGGTAGCTCAGAACCAGGGCGCAGGACCCTGGTGGGGCAAGGGGCTGGACAGTCCCAGGTGGCTCTCTGCACTAGCAGGAGAGGCAGAGGTGAGAATCACCGGAGGTCTCCAAGGTCCGCCCGCAGAGCCCGGCCCGCCTACACCGTGGCCGGCTTCGTGTTCTCCTTCCCACTGGGGCACAGCTCTCTGGCCCCAGCTCGCTGGGGACCTTCCCTTCCAACCTGCTAAGTGAAGCTCTTCTGTCCTCCAGCTCCCACCCCAGCCCTGACTCCTGGAATTTTTCCAATATCTTCCAGAGAATTCTGAGCCACCATTATGGCCACCATTTCTTGAGTGTGTCAGCCGTAAGTGTTTTAACCTGTGTTATCCTGCTTAATCCTGACAGCACCCTGAGAGATCGGTGCTGTCCTTGCTGTCTTACAGACCAGGAAGCTGGGGTCTGGAGGGCACAGTGACTTGTCTGAGGTGGCACAGCCAGCTCGCTGGCAGAGTGGGGATTCTCACCCGGGCCTCACTGTCCCCTGCCTTTCTTTGCCATCTCTCTTCTTGGGGGTGAGCCAGTTTCTGTGAGCGGAGCCAGGCCTGAGGACTTGGGGAGTACAGATGGCCACATAATGCACCCAGCTTACTGAGGTGCGTCCCAGCCCCCCACCACCCTGAGGGGCTCAGACCTTCCTCCTCTCTCCTGGCTTGGCCTGACTTGAGCCCAGCCAAGCAGAGCCAGGTGGAAAAGTCTCTGGCCTGGGGAGGTGCCCAGGTAAGCATAGTGACTCTCCCCACCGCCAGATGTTTGCTGTTCCCAGCTCTCCATGTTTGCTGAGCCTGATTACTGGTGGGTCCTGGACCGCCCCGTTTTCCAGGCAGCAAGGCTCCCTGGGCCTGAGGTACGTGACTAGTCCTATAGCCCTCCTCATCCTGCTGAGTCCTGGAAGGCCCAGAAACTCCCATCCCCACGCTGCTTTACTGCTCTGGGGGAGGGGGCAGACAAGGATGATGCGCTGGGCTTGGGGACACTGAGGCAGCCAGCTGTAGGAATTCCTGACAAGCAGGAACCATTCTACGTCTGTGAGGCAGAGATAAAGTTCTCCGTCCTTTCCTGGGCTTTGAGCACCTCCAAAGGGTCCACAGTGGGTTTCAGGCTGCTCAGAGTCTGTGCAAAATGGTCATGGCAGTGTGTGTGAGTGTCTGAGTGTTCCAGTGAGGGGGTGGGGTTGACAAGGCTCATCACACGCTAAGTGCTGTCTGTGACCCCATAGTGGCTGTTTCCAGCGATGCTGCCTGCCCCTCATTGCTCATCTGATGTGATGGCAACCCCGATCTGAAGGTTCCGGCCAGACTTAAACATCTGAGGCTTAGTTAACTCTCAGGGGCACCCTAGAAGCCTTTCCCCCAGGGACATGGGGACTATGTGCCCCTGTGCTGCCTGCAACCTCCCTGTGCCTGGGGCTGTGTTTACATGTGGAGTTGCTGGGAAGGGAGCCTGGCGGAGACTCAGAATGTTTAACTTCTAGTCTCCAAGGCCACACATTGACTCCTGTGGAGGAGGGAGGGGCAGCGAAAGTCTGAAGGAAGAAGGTCTTGCTTCCAGTTGTCATTAAATGGATATAATCAAACCCAAATCCCACCAGAATCCCATGCGATATTCTTGAGTGCTTGCTGTGTGCCAGCCTTGTGCTAAATCTTGGCATTCAGTGAATCACAGCACACTTACAATAGGAGTAATGATGGGGACACATTTTATAGGAAGAGGAACAGAGGCACAGAGGGGCTCTTCCCTACCACACAACTCACCAGCAGATTTTCTGGGGCCTGGGGCTTTGGACTTAACTATTCCCATCCTTCTCAAAGTGTGCTTCTGGGGGCTGGGGCTCTCTGGAGAGGGTGTGTATGTGTGTCAAAAACAAGGATTTCTGGATCTTGCCCAGACTAAGTAAATCTGGGAAGAGGCCCAGGAGCCAGCATTTCAGCCTGTGCAATCCATGCTTCTAGGCTCGCCAGCAAGTTCCTGATGAAATAACTTCAGCTAAGGAGCTGGATGGAGGGGTGAGCTGAGCAGGGAAGGTGCTCCCTGCTGAGTTTACACGTGCATGGTTTGGAGGAGCAGAAGGAGGCTTGGTGGGGTCCTGGCATTCACTGCTCTTCACTCTGCGCAGTTCCCTCCCTCCTGCAGACACCCCAAAGCAGGGTGAGAGGGGCAGAGGGCATGTTTGAATGTATGAGAGGTATTTGGGGGTGTCTGGGGCTGGAGAATATAGCAGTGGAAAGGCCCAGAAAGTCAAGTGGAGATGGGGAGGTCCAACACCAGGGTAGACTTCAGAAGGGAGTGGGCAACTCTACAGTAGGTTTTCAAGTAGAGGAATGTCATTGTTGGGGGTTCAAGAAGATGACTGTGCTGTGGGAGGTCAAACTGAAGGCAGAATGGAGTTTCCTGAAGCAGTTCTGGGAAGGGATGAGGACCTGGACTCAGGGACTGGAAGGCTCCGGAAATGAGAAGGTGGAGACTGCTGTCCTTGGACTGAGATACAGAGATGGGGGGATCTCCACACCTAAGAGAGGGAATGAGATCCTTTGGGGCTTGTTGACTTGGAGAGGCTGGTGGGACGTCCTTGGAGGTGTGTTTGAAACATGGGGCAGGAGAGGGTGGGATCTGGAGGGACACCATAATAAGGGTTATGCTAAGAGTCAGACTGCTGGAGCATGGGTTCAGCATGTGAGATCCCAGTTCACTAGGACTTCACCTCTCTGATGCTCAGTTTTCTTATCTGTAAAATGGGTTGTTTTGAGGGTTCCACGAGGTAACGGTGCTTCTGGAAGCGCTCCATCAAATACTTGAAAACACAATTGCTACGGTCTGGGTGGGTATGAGGGGCCTCAAATGAATGTGTCTAGGTTCAGCGGCCGGGTGGCCTGCGGGGGCGCCACTGCCCCCTATTGGCAATCCTGGCCTGGGCGGTCCTGGCCCGGGCGCCCCGGGCCCCGGACAGGCGGGGCAACCCCGCGGGCTGCTTGTGGCTCCGCCACCGTCAGTCCGCCAGTCGGCTCGCTCCTGGCGCCGCGTCCGCACGTCGATCGGTCCCATGGACGCCCGCCCTACACTCAGCGGGTGGGCGCCTGGCCCCCGGATCTCGCTGGCAGCAGACGGCGAGTGTAGGTGAGCAGATGCCGGCGCGGGCGAGGCGCAGCGGCTGGAACGCACGCGGCCAGGCGGGGAGAGCGCGCGGGCAGGGTCTCCCCAGGGCAGTAGGAATCGGGGAGCCCGTCGGGGCTCCCCCCTCCCAGGGGGACTCGCAGCCTCCCGGGGTATTTCTGTCTTTTTTGCCCGCCACGCGTGCAGCGGGGCTGGGGGGCTCTGTGCGACGACCTTTCCCGGGGGCGAGGGAGTCTCCCTCGAACCAGAGTCGGCGCTTGCGAGCTCCCAACTCATCTCCGCGGTCTCCGCTCGGATCCCGCAGCAGCCTGGGTAGGGAATGAGGGTGTGGTGGGGCCAGAGGACCACTTGAATGGATGAAGATAAGCCTTGATTCCAAGATGCGGGATTAGGCGTCGGAGAGGCAAGGAGGCTGGGGGAAGCTTCTCGGTGGGGGCTTTGGTGAAGAAGAAGATACTCAGGATTAAGAACCCTTGGGATCTCGGAAAAAGAAGGACCTGAAAAAGAAAGCTGAACGGTGGGTGTGCAGGTACTTGGGGACTGGGAGTTCCCAAGCCCCCACCTGAGGAGAGGAAATGGAGCCTAAGAGAGGATCCAGGAACCAAGCCTGAAAATCCGCAGTTGCTCAGAGGGGAGGGGACGTGGTGGTGGCGGTTTGGGGAACAGGCTCAGTAAGACAGCTCCTGGCTTTTTGAGTCAAGCCACATGCCTAGTGGAATCCCATTCAGCCCCTGGCCCAGTCCCCTGAATTGTGCTTCCTTTGCCTGTGGGAAGGAAGGATCATGCTACTATGCACTGAAGTTGAGCACCTAAAATGTCAGGCACACTCCTGAGAACTTACTCTCTCATTTAATCTTCCAAGAAATTATGAGGAAGGCTCTATCGACTTACCCATTTTATAGATGAGGAGACCGAGGCACAGTGAGGGCCTGTCACAGAAGAGGGTGGCAGAGCTAGCATTTGACTGCAGGTCATTAACTTCCTGGCTTGGGTCCTTAACTACTATATCTGGTGGACTAGCAAAGAGAGGAGCCTGAGAGAGGAAAGGGAACCTCAGAACTGGCAGTGTCAAGGTCTGGCAAATATTTCAACTCCAAACAGTTCAGGTGATAGAAAACAGAAACAAGAACGAACTTTCAGATCTGCATTATAGCTTTTGGACCTTTCATGCCTTTGCTTGATCCCCACAGTGACTCAGTCCTCACAGTGAGGTGACATAATCAGGCCCTTCTGTGTGTCAGACAGGCCCTGCGTTAATACCTTTCATGGGCTAAATTCCTTTATCTTTATAATATGGAAACAACTGCAGAGAGGTTACCATGAAAATGGCCCCACAGCCCGGAATTCAAGAGGCTGGATTTGAATCAAGGCAGCTGTTTCCAGAGCCCTTGCTCTTAAAACCATATGATACTATGTATTGTGCCCATTTTACAGATGTCCAAGCTGAGCGTCTCTCCCAAAGTCAATGGCTTGAAATGGGAGAGAACCAAGGAGAGGCTGCTGATAACAAAGCCCATGCTTGAGATCAGCTCCATCACTATTCAGAGGCTTCACTAGATCTTGAAATTTAAAATTGAAGTCCCACTTTTTACTATTTTTAAGATGTATATATTTATATCTCTGAAATTGTAATGCCATTTTAAAATGTATGGCAGAGTTTGTCCTTCTCTGTGTTACATAAAATAATGGCCTCCTTAGTATCTATTGATGGTACTTTTGGTTTGATAAATTATGACGGAGCCAGGTTCCCTGAGTGACTTTTTCTGGTGTCACTCTTTTTTTTGTTCCACAGGCTCCTCTTTGCCTCAACTGCTCCATCCTCCCTGGAAACAGGTCCCTGGGTGCAAAGAGCCTGGTGCCCTGCAATGGCAGCAGGGCCTTGGAGTCCTTTGACCCTGAGGACTTAAACCTGACTGATGAGGAGCTCAAGTTCAAGTACCTGGGGCCCCAGCAGATGGAGCTGTTCCTACCCATCTGTGTCACATACCTGTTGATCTTTGTGGTGGGTGCTGTGGGCAACGGGCTGACCTGCACTGTCATCCTGCGCCATAGGGCCATGCGCACGCCCACCAACTACTACCTCTTCAGCCTGGCCGTGTCGGACCTGCTGGTGCTGCTCCTGGGCCTGCCCCTGGAGCTCTACGAGATGTGGCGCAACTACCCGTTCCTGCTGGGAACCGGCGGCTGCTACTTCCGCACGCTGCTCTTCGAGACGGTCTGCCTGGCCTCGGTGCTCAACGTCACTGCCCTGAGCGTGGAGCGCTACGTGGCCGTAGTGCACCCGCTGCAGGCCAGGTCCGTGGTGACGCACTCCCACGTGCGCCGCGTGCTCGGGACCATCTGGAGCCTCGCGGTGCTCTGCTCTCTGCCCAACACCAGCCTGCATGGCATCCAGCAGCTGAATATCCCCTGCCGGGGCACAGTGCCTGGCTCGGCCGTGTGCACTTTGGTCCGCCCAAGAGCCATCTACAATCTGGTCGTGCAGACCACCGCGCTGCTCTTCTTCTGCCTGCCCATGGCCACCATCAGCGTGCTCTACCTGCTCATCGGGCTGCGGTTGCGGCGTGAGAGGCTGCTGCTGCTCAGGCAGGAGTCCAACGGCAGAGCCAGGACCAGGGACAGCCGCAGGCTCCAGCGGCTGCCGAATAGGGGTCGGACACAGGTGACCAAGATGCTGTGTAAGTTTTGCTGCTGGCAAGAGGGGCTGAGCCAGGCACTGGGTATGAAGCTGGGGCTTCCGAGGGCCCTGGGGAAGGGGCTGAGTGTCTGGGTTTATGATGGAGGCTGAATGTGAGGTATGGAGTAACACCACTGCCACCCACTGTGTGCCCGCGCGCATGCGCACACTCTCACACTGCAGGTGTATACTTTTTTAGATTACCTTGTGAGAAACCGACACCAAAGATAAATGTTAATGGTTCACGGCAAGATCAGCTACATAATTTGTGGGACTCAATGCAAAATGAGAATTTGTGGTCCCCTGTTTAAAAAACTCAGTAAGAATGACAAAACAGCAATAGCAGAGCTGCTCTCTTGACCCTTCTGAGGTGTGGGCCCTGTGCAAATGCACAGGTCGCACCCATGAAGCCAGCCCTGGCTCATGGAACCAACCACAGGCAGGCCGGAGGCATGTGGCTTGGCTGTTCATAGGATCTGGACCCTCCAAGCAGGTCTCTCACCTTTACTCCTAAATATATATTTCTAGGTTCTGTCCTTCCCTAAGCAGCCAGGGCGGAGGGCATGGAGCTCCCCTTTCCTGAGGAACTAACTGTTCTCTTCTCTTAGTGGCTATTGAAAATCCCAGGGAAGGATTCTGATTGATGGGCTTAGGTCATGGCCTGCCACTTGGCCAGAGTGGCAGGATGCTGGTGAGCAGCCCCCACAGACTCACATGGTGGGATCCAGGGGAAGCAAAGTTTGAAAAGATGGGGAGCAGGGTGCTGGAAAGGCAAGATGATGAATTTTCTCTACAGTATGTCTGTGGTTCTCTGGGGACCACAGGAGTGACCATGATCTAAAAGAGGTCATCAGGAGGCATGTTTGTGAGGGTCGGTGTGCAGAGCCCAGGAGAATCAGGGCAGAAGTGTGGATGGGGGCCAGCTGGGGGAACACTCAGCTGCCTTGAGGCCCTGGATCTTTCTGTGGACTAGGCCTGGTGCTTCTTCAAAGACAGGGGCCCTGGGGAAGCCAAACTGATGCTCAGCCAATCATTGATTCCCTCCCTATCTCATCCTGTCCCACAGGACCTGAATCAGGTAGGTGGGGTGAGCCAGGGCAGGACAGGGCTGGTGAGGCCTTGATCAAAGCCATGGGATTATAGCCAGCTAACTGGGGACTGCCCCATTCCCAGAGAGATCCACTCCTCTCACTCCCCAGGACAGTGCCCAGGAGGCCAGGGTCACTTGTGCAGTCCCCTAAGATGGGAGTGACTGTGACACTTTGTGCTTGCCTCCTGCACAAGACCACCTGCCCCTTGGCTGTCTCCACTGCCTCCTGCTCCCCTGACCACAGGGGCTGAGTCTGCTCATCTGGGACGGCTCTTGTCCTGTGAAGGTGGGGTGTTTCCTTAAGGCCTGCCTTGCTTGCTGGCCCGGGGCTCTGGCTTTTTCTCTCCTTCCTCCATCTTTGCTTCCCGAGGGCCTACTGTGCACAGGCTGTGTGCTGGGGATGTTGTAACCAACGCCCCGATTGACATCTGGGGCTGTGAGGAAAACCATGCTGGGGTGTGAGGTGGAAGACACTGCAGGGGAAAGATTGTAAATTGGAGAAGCAAACATGAGGAACAAGCAACAAAAATCAAGGCAAACCTGAAGGCAGAGACCCAAGGAAGGGCATGGTTAAGACCAGAGCTGGAGGGAAGCTTGGGAGAAAGAGCGAGCGCTCAGCTGGCCTGTCCTGCTTTTTGCTGGTGGTTGGGGTGGGGGGTTGTCAAGGAAAGGGGAGTTAATGCAGGGCAGGATATTCAGCAGGGCCCGGGAGAGCTGGGGGCTGGGAAGGCTTCTAGGGCCAAAGCAGGCAAGTGTAGGGTATGTGTGTCTGTCTTGCTCTCTCTGGCCCCATAACCTCCCCGTCTACTACCATCTAGCCATGGGCCCCATTCTCCTGCTTACATCAGCAAGCATGGCCCCAAGATGTCACCTAGAGTGGGCTTAGCCCCACAGTCTGTGTCACGCTGGGGCTCAGCATCCCAGCTGACATGAGGCTGTAGAGCACGGGGTTCCATGGGGACAGAATTGGACCAGGCCAGCTGGGCTCGGGTGTCCACACCTGGTCCAGGGCACACACCCACTGCCCAGTCAGTGACGGTGGCGAGAGTAGTCTCTCTAAAAGGGGCACGGTCAGGGCAGGCAAACTTTCAGAAAATTCCAGATGGATGGTGGGCAAGGGTGGCCTGTGGGAGAGGAGAGGAGGTGAGACTGAGCGGACCAAATTGAAGCCCAGGGCAAGCCACTGAGAGGGCTCTGGTGGGTATTCAAGTCTTTCTCCGCCCACAGTTGTGCTGGTCGTAGTGTTTGGGATCTGCTGGGCCCCGTTCCACATCGACCGCCTCATGTGGAGCTTCGTGTCCCGCTGGACCGAGGGCCTGCACCTGGCCTTCCAGTACGTGCACGTCGTCTCCGGCATCTTCTTCTACCTCGGCTCGGCCGCCAACCCCGTGCTCTACAGCCTCATGTCCAGCCGCTTCCGCGACACCTTCTGGGAAGCCCTGCGCCTGGGGGCCTGCTACCACCGCCACAGACCCTGCCACAGCTTCCACAGCCTCAGCAGGGTGACCACAGGCAGCACCCTGTGTGACACGGGCTCCCTGGGCAACAGAGCCCATCCTCTGGCTGAGAACGGTGGCCCAGGGGGGCAGCAAGAGACTGACCCCTTCTAAGTGGAGCCTCGAGGCAGCTTCACCCCAGGGTGCCGGAGCGCCATGCCCAGCTTTGGGGGCCACATGTGCCTCCTCTGCAGGGATGTCTTCATGGCCTATCCCCTTTGTACCTTGTCCCCATTTCAGCCTAGAAACTTGGGCCATCACCTCAGTGACCCCTGCCCCACCCAAGTATCAGAAGGAATTTAAGGTCTTTAAGGGTCTGCCCTCCAGATCCCCAGGCCCCCAGTTACAGGCCCACCCCTGTAGGGACATCACAGTTGGTTAACTGGGCACAGCGACTCCATCTGGGGACTCCCCTCCCACTACAGTACCTGAAGTGTTTCCACGTGGCCCAATCTTTCCTTGCCATTTCTCCCTGAGCTTCTGCAGGTTCTGGCCCATTCCATGCCTCTCTAGCTCTTGGCCTGCACCTGGGGCCCTCCTCTGCCCTGACCCTTCCCTGGCTCCCAGTTGGCTCGTTCTGCTCTGGGATCTCCACCTGGTAGAGTCACTAGGTGGCAGGTATAGCAGGGATCCAGGGAACCTGGTTCCAATCTCAGCCCTGCTGCCAACACTGTGCCCTGTGGCATCAAGGAAGTCACCTCACCTTATAAACCTTGGTCCCTTGTTTGCAAAATGAAAGGGGCCCTGACATTCTACAGTGTCTCCCTTTGACACCTTAGCTGTGGTTTTCTGTGTGTGTGTGCAGAAGTCACAGCTTGTAACAAAAGAGATACCCTCAGATTAACAAGGTGGAAATTTTAGGAAATCTTAAGGTCCTCACCAACCCCCAACCCTTACTCCCTCCCTGACCCCCGCATGCTCCCCACCCCACCCCCTTGAGAGCCACTTGTCCTAGGGCAGAGGGACTGCATGTGAGCAGAGGTCCCTGCCTGCCTCTGGACTCATCTCCTCACAGGCTGGCTTGGGGGTCTGAGGTGAGCAGAGCATTGGGACCGACTGGCCAGAGACTCTGGGGGCAAGAGACATGGGCAAACCAAGGGCAAAGAGTGACCCTGTGAGGACTGCTTGGGGCTCAGTGAGGTGAAAAGAGAGACTGGACAAGTATGTCCTGAAACAAAGCCCCATTCCCAGTCCCCGTGGGCGACCTGGTGCTCAGTAAGGACTCAGTTGATGGACGGAACTTGTCTCGCTGCAGTCCCTGGATGCCGTCCTCCTCCCGAGAGGAGACTGCAGTACAAGGAACCCTGGCCTCCCTGGAGGGGAGCTGCAGGGTGCCCAGGGTGCTATGGGGCCTGCGGGCCGAGTCCTCCCTGCAGCCTCTCCCCTGCTCAGGTCCCAGGTTCCCTGCCTAAAAAGTGGAGGAAATTGTACAGGGTTGCATGTAATGTTCTGGAGTTTTTGCAATTCAATTGTAGAAATAATAAATATTCATTTTAGAAAAATTGGAAAGTACAGATGAGCAAAAGTCAAAACAATTTAAAATAATTAAAAACCACCCTTGCTGGGGGAGGAGGGGAGGGGGAAATGGAGAGTTGTTTAATGGGTACAGATCAGTTTTCCAAGATGAAAAAGTCCTGGAGATTGGTTACAAAACAGGGTGAGCATACTTGAACAATACTGAATTGTACACTTACATAGTTAAGATGGTAAATTTTATGTGTATTTTACTATAGTTTTTTTCAACGAAAGGATTAAGTCAGGAAAAGAAAAAATTAAAAACTATTGTGGCTTACTCTCTGGAAGAAACCACTATATACAAGATGAATGGGGGATTTGTGAAAGGAGCTTGTGAAAAGAGTCTATGCAGAGTTATGAGTGCCCAGTGACACTCGGAAATGAGCTCCCAGGAGGCCTTGAGGTGGCGTCGGGGGAAGGGGTGTGGTTGAGGGGAACGGTCAGATGCCAAGCTTCTGGCTGGAGCTTGAAGTTGAGCTAAAGACTGGACTCCCTGGGACCTCTCTTAAGTGATAGTCAGGAACTTTGGTCAGTGTGCGTTTACAAAGGGACTACTATGTGCAGAGAAGCACTGGGCAGACTGGGGAAGGTGAGGGCTGTGAGTTGTCAGAAGGCACCAGATCTTAGTGTAAACTTGATGTATGTCTCTCAAGGGTCTCCACAGCATGTCGGTGGCTAGGTCCCATTTGCCATGAGTCACTGGTTACCATGGAAAGTAGAAACAGCAGCTCTGGGCTCAGCCTTGGAGAAAAAGGGATGGAGGTGGAAAGGCCAGCCAGCAAGATCCCGCTCTCTCTCCTGGAAGCAGCATCTTCCGCTACTTGCTCTCCTGCACTGGTCAGAGTGGGGACAGCATTCCCAAATGCACAGGGCTACTCCCAAGACAGGAGTCCTCAACTCCTAAGTGTCTGGCTCACCTGGGGCTCAAGTCACCTCCTGTCCCAGCTGCGGTCACACACATCCCTCCTTCTCCCATGTTCAAGAGTTTGGGCTCTACTTCTTGTCTGCTCCACTCCTGCGTGGGTGATGCTGAAGTCCACGTGGATGGCCTGCTGCCGCCCTGACATCAGCTTTAGATCTTTCCTGCAGTTTCTGGAGACTCTCCTCCACCCCAGCCTCTCAGTTCCTGGTCACCTCCTCACTCCCAGGACCTCCAGTTTTTCCATTTCTGGAAGTGTGAACTCTTGACTGTGACTGCCTCCTTCCTGCTCTGTTGCTAAGTGATAGGTTTATTCTTTAACTTCATCTAGCCTCTTGACTGCTCTGTTTTCTCCCAATCCATCAGCTTCCTCAGATCTTCACTTCCTTTCTAATGGGTCCCAGATCCCATGGTCCATCACACGCAGCCCTCTCTGCCAGTATTGCTGAGGTGAACATACTGGAATCACCCTTTCCTTCTCAGAAAAAAAAGGTTTATTCTCTTTGGGAACTACAAGAATTCTTGGGAACATCTTGGGAAATCCAAGATGTCTCATCAACAAAGCTGTGTTTGCCCAGCCTTCCTTCTGTTAAGTACCGACTCAGGAAATGGAAATGATGCAGCACTTCACAGCTAGTCTTACATGGTCAGATGGCATTTCCAGACCAGTCCTGACATTAAAAAAAAAATTGTTATTACTTTTTTATTTTTGGTGGGGGAAGGTAACTAGGTTTACTTATTTATTTATTCTTAGAGGCAGTACTGGGGACTGAACCCAGGACCTCATGTATGCTAAGCATGTGCTCTACCACTTGAGCTATACCCTCCCCAGTCCTGACATTCTTGTCTTCTAATGCATCCACCAAGTTTTCTCTGTCCCAAGTTTTCTTTCTAAAGAGGAGTTGCCCTTTTGGAGGGCTCCCTATATTTGCACTTCCTTCCCCTTGTGGGGAATCCCTCAGTGGGTGACTCTTGGTGGGAGACCAAGCCCAGGCTCCCACTACAGAAGCTGAAAGGGTTCTGGACACTCTCCACCCACGATGTCACTGTGTGGCTCATGACTTGCACTTGGCCAGCTGGATGATGCGACCTGGGACTTCCATCTGGAGCAAGTGATACTAAGACCCACGACAACAGGGGCAGATGTGTCCAAGGCTGCAGCGCTAACAGCAGCATCCTGTCCAGGCTGCCCTGGGGCTCCTGCTGCCCAGCCTGCCTTGGTCTCCACCCATTTTCTCTGCCGGGTTTTCCAACCTTCCTGTTCTTCTGAGCTACCAAGAGCTTTTCAATCAATTCCTTTTCTGCTTAAGTTGACCAGAATCTTTTGCTGTTGTTTGCAACCAAGAACCTTAACAGATCCATCAACCACTGATGTGAAGGTTACACTTTCTATTTGTTCTACTAGTTGTTATCTTTACATTTTTCTAAGATGAGCAAATATTATCACTGATTGTTTTAAAACCCCAAACTATAGTCTGTAATACTTAATAATTATTTTCATTCTCTCTCTTTTTTAAAACTCTTTTTTTTAAGAGGCAAGAACAATGAGGACAGATTTAAGGAATTTGATCCTAGAAACATATTTACATTTTTCTAATAGTCTAATTCTCTTCAGCACAAAACTTTTGGTGTGCTTCTTCAGACAAAGCAGCAAGGACTCTAGACTCAAGCTACCAGGGTTCAAATCCTGGTTCAAAAGTCAGAACAGCCTTAGGCCAAAGTCAGACTGGACTGAAAGGTATGGACATTACTAAAGAAAGAACGTGCACCCTGCCTGCACACAAGTAAGAGACTCAGAGGCCAGCACTGACCACTGCATCCTTCCAAAGAGTGTCCTAAATCTGTAAGGTTCAGTCTGAGGATGGTAGTTACTCTCTAAGGTAAATGCCCCTTTGTGCGGCCTCTTTATTTATTTTTAAAATGATGTCATTAAATATTTATTGAGCACTTCTTCTAAGCCAGGCACCGTTCTGGGAATTAGAGCAACTACAGTCAAAAAGAGGCAAATATCTCTGCCCACAAAGAACTTTCATTCTTTGGACTAAATTTTGAATGAAAACTCACTGTGCTCAGACATTGAACTAAACAGCATATATGTTAACAATGAAGAAAATGCAATCTCACCCTCAGGAAGTTGCAATTTACTTGTTTTTCTCTTGCTAACTTTATTTTTGTCTTCTTTCCCTGTTTTTTACTTTTCTAGAAAGTGAATCCTAGGATACTTAGGTCCAAGTTAGCCTGCATAACAAAATATGTTGATAATTTATTTAGCAAATATCAAGAATTCCCTTTAAAAATTTTTTTCCAGCATTTATTTTGATGTTTTAAATTGAAGTATAGTCAATACAATGTTGTGTTAGTTTCTGGTGTATAGCATAGTGATTCAGTTATATATATATATATATATTTCTTTCCATATTCTTTTTCATTATAGGTTATTACGAGATATTGAGTATCTTGTTGCTTATCTATTTTATGTAGTTAGTATCTGCAAATCCCAAACTCCAGTTTATTGTTTCCCACCTCTTTCTCCTGCTGGTAACCATAAGTTTGTTTTCTATGTCTGTGAGTCCCTTTCTGTTTCATAAGTAAGTTCATTTGTGTCTTTTTTTTTTTTAAGATTCCACATATAAGTGATACCTTACAGAATTTTTCTTTCTCTTTCTGGCTTACTTCACTAAGTACGATAATCTCTATTTCCATCCATCTTGCTGCAAATGGCATTATTTCATTCTTTTTTATGGCTGAGTCACATTCCATTGTGTAAATATATACCACATCTTCTTTATCCAGTCATCTGGATAAAGATGGACATTTAGGTGGCTTCCATATCTCGGCTATTGTAAATAGTGCTGCTATGAATATTGGGGTGCATGTATCTTTTTGAATTAGAGGTCCCTCCAGATATATGTCCAGGAGTGGGGTTGATGGATCATATGGTAAGTGTATTTTTATTTTTTTAATGAATTTCCATACTGTTTTCCTGTGTGGCCTCTGCCTGCCTGCCTTCCTTCCTTCCCTTCTTTCTAAATTTTTTAAATTAATCTTTCTTTTGGCGGTGGGGAGGAGGTAATTAGGTTTATTCATCTATTTATTTAATGGAGGTACTGGGGCTTGAACCCAGGACCTTGTGCATGCTAGGCATGCACTCTACCACTGAGCTATACCCACCCCTCCCCCCAGTGTGGCTTCTTTAAATGCAACACTCCAACCTCATCCTCTTTCAAAGTTCTGCACAGGGCAGGGTAGGACAGTTGAGGGGTGTGGGAAAAGAGGCTATGGCCCAGGTGAGGGACAGTGGGGATTCAGTGGGTAAGAGTGTCCTGGATCAGAAGAGGTGGCCACAGGCTAGGGCTAGACTGGAGGGCCTGGAAGCTGCTGCCACAGTCTCTGGAACATCCCCAAGAGGACCTGGGATATTTTAATCTAATATTCAAGTACCTTCATTAGCTCTAAGCAATGTGGACATCATTCATTCAGCTACCATCTATTGGCCATGTACCAGGCACTGTCCAAACCTGGGATGGGGGACATACAAGTGCTCTGACAGCTGGAACTCTGGGGCACAGAAGAGAGGCACCTGCCTTAGTGGAGCAAAGGCTTCCACAAGGAGGCAATGCTGCTCAAGACTCAGAGTTCTGGGAGAAGGGGCCTGAGTGGCCTCTGAGCTTTGGCCGGGGAAGGGTGGAGCATCTCTAATGACATGTATGGAGCCTGTAGCAGTACAAATAAAGTGTTTACAGGAGAAATAATAGGATGCCTAGGAATCACATTAAATACTCAAGCCAAAGAAGCAAACAAACAAAAAACCAAAGAAAGAAAAAAAAAAGAAAAAAAAGGAGAGAGGGAGAGAAAAAAAAGTGAGACAGGGAATAGCTGAAAGACGAATGGCAAAAATATTGAAGTGATTCATTATGGTAAAAAGGGAATCATTATATATTCTCCCTACTTAATAATGTGTGTTTGAAAACGTCCATAATTTTTGTAAAGGTTGCAGTAAAGATTCACATATTTGTCTCTTCATCAGCACGATCACTTATCGCTGGGTGAAAAGAGTAGAATTCCTAAATGTAAGGAA